CTATTTGTCTTAGGTCTTTGATTTTGTATTTTATGGTTAAGTTTTGATTGTGCCTTATAAATGGTCATCACTTAGGTATTGATTTTGTTATCTTTATGATTAATTTTGTAAGAACCTAATTTCAACTTTGTCTTAATTGTATCCATATTGTTTTACCAATTCTACCTAATCTTGACCTATTTATAATCCTACCAAGACAATAGAAGAGTACTGATGCAATACAAAATCTAAAACATTAACATGTTAATTTTACTTACTCTATTAGTTATTAAGGCTAAAAAAAAAACACATAAATTTTTATAAGAGTTCTTTTAATATAAGTTGGATTTTTATCAATTATTCTACTAAGTAATAATATTGCAATACAATAACATTATTGAACTATAAATAATTTGTAATATTTAAAGTCAAGAAATAATTATTAAAGTTAAGATAATAAGTGATATTATTTGAAGTAAAAACCAATAATGGAAAAAAACAATATAAACTTCAAAAGATATTATTTGCAAATACATATCCATTTTTGGAATTTAGTTGTAAGACAATTCATAGATTAAAGAAATAATTTTTTTCTAGAATTTCTGGAATTCCTTTGAATATCTATTTTATATTATTAATTATACCTTAATCATTATAAAAATTTTATTTTTATTTTTTGAATTTCTGGATATTAGATTTGATTTTAAAACTATATTCTATCTTTATAGTGGTTTAAAATCTTTAATTTCAATGTTTTATACACTATTGTAATTACTAAGCTATTTTTGAAATGTTTTGTTGCATCATGTTATTACTTCTTGTATTACATAATAGAATATCACATGTAAATTCAAAGTTTTTGATCTATGTAATGATGTATATCTATACAAAAGTTTTAGTAGATTTAAGATTAATCTAAGACATTATTTGGAGAATCATATTATATCTATAATATTTAATATTGGTGATTATGTTATATACTAAACCTATACATCTTTGATGATCCTAAATCTTCTGGTGAAAAAATGAATTTGAATTCACATGTCACATGAATATTTGTAAATATAACTCTTAAAAATAGTATTTCTATTAATATAAAATAAAGAGTATTTATTTCATAATTTAAAATTTTAAGATCAATAAATTTTAGATTTAATAATGAAAACTGAATGATAAAATTTTAATAATTATCTGATATATAATGTGGTATTATATATTAATATCTACAAAATTTAATAATTTAAAATTAAATATTTAATAAATATAATAAATATAAAATTATCAAAATGATAGTTTAAAAAACTAAGTTATTTTTTATTATTTTAATTTTTTTTGTATTATTAATCTACAAAAATATATTTGGTTTATCCTATTAAAAATCCACAAGAATATTTTTAGTAGTTTTTATAGTAAGATTTATAAAATATTTATTTATTGATATCAAAGATTTAATATAAAAAATATATCATATATTATTTTTTAAAATTAATAATTTTATTTTCATAAAAAGTATTATTATTCTTTTAAAAACTTTAAAATTTCCATTAATATAATTTCTTATAAAAATTATGTTTAATTTTTTATTAATTATATTTCTTAATAGAATAGTTTCATATAAATTATAAAGAAATCAAAAGGATTTTTTCATTATTTTTCTTCTATGATATAATTTTTAATATTATAAAAATAATAATTTTTATTAAATATTTATTTTATTCTTATGTTAAAGAAGTTTAATGGTGGTTTTGGATATTTAAATTTTGATTCAATTTCTATTCAATACGTAACTATAATTTTTATCAAAAATATATTTAATTTATTAATTTATTAAATAAATATGTATATTTTTATTTATTTATATTGGTTTCTTCTTACCCAAACTTTCGTTATAAAATTAATGTGTTTTATATTCCAAGTCTAAGATGTTTTCAATCCATCATATTTAGAAATTAGGGATTAGGATTTAAACCTAGTCTAGCCAATTATCCAAGTTGTTTTATATAAGAATAGAATTAAAATTTTAGTATAAGAAAATAAATAATTTATGTTTTATTATTAAATTTTAAATAAAAATATTTAAGTAATTTAATTGAATAAAAATATATCTTTTAGTATTGACATTTAAATACTAGTTATATTTAAAATGATATCTAAATATAAAAATATATAATCTTTTTATGATATTAAAAAATCATTACTATTTATTATACACTATTTTATTATATGTTAAGTAATTTTAAACTGAACATAATAAAATCTTTATTGCAATCAAAAGTAAAAATTTTATCTATGACAATCATAATAACATTTTGTAATTGTAAATAAAATCTTGTTTAAATTGTAAATAAAATTGTAAATAAAATATTTTCATATATATATATGATATTTTATTTACAATTTATTGTCATGATAATTTTGATTTTAACTTAGTTAAATATTTTGTAGCTGTTATAATTCCATACAAAGTTTTATAAAAGACCAAGAGACCAAGAACAATAAACTTATGTTTTTTTTCTCTTACTTATGTATTAATGCACATAAGATACCAAGTCTTCTAAATTAGATTCCATTATACAATTTTTCTTCTTATTAAATATTATCTCAAGTATTTTTGTCTACATTAAAAATCCTTACTATTAAATTTATATAGTATTAAAAAATTATAATAATTATGTTTGAGCTACACAATGCCACAACCTTTAGTATTTTCTTTGCAACAATACTTTCAATTTCAATATTATCTTCAAAAATATTTGTGGTATCTTACTTTGTCTATACAAGAATCTCATTTACATCACCTTGCCTATAATGCAACATCCTATATAAGTTGATAATATTTTGGAGCCTAGTACAGTCTACAAATAGAATTTTTAATTTTTTTATTATAAACATACCTCTAATTAAGCTTCTTGATCAAATAATGTTGCAAGCTTAAACTTTCTTTTTTAGCTCAAGGCAAAGTTGCCAAACACTTTTTTCAACATGGAACAATATATTATTCTTACTCCTAATAATAATTTTTCCAGATCTATTTCAAAAAAAATTTATAAAATTATAATTTAGCAATTTTAAAATAGTACTAGCTTATTTAAGAGATGCAAGAGCAACAAGCCTTGAAATTTTGTAAATATCTTACAGCATTTCAGTAAATTTTTGCAGCTCCTTCAAAATCTTCTTCAAATAATTATTTAATTAATTTATGTACCTATCTGTTATAGATGTAGATTACATTTATTAATAGCACTAACAAGCTCATCCTTTTACAACTTATTTTATAATAAATTTACTATTATAATTGCCCTTTTAAAGTCACCGTCATCTTGTCTTTGCTTAGTCTAGTCTTTATAAACTTTTATTGTAGCATGCACATACTTAAACTTTCTTCAACATTTTTTTTTTAACAATTTGAGTGCCATTAAAGTAGTATGAGCTATTATTTATCAAATTTATCTTAGGAGTTTGTAAGTAACAAAGTAACTAAAAATTCCAGCAATTTTAAGAAAGATCAATCTTAGATTTGTATGGACTATGGACCTTGCAACATGTCTATTACTATCAATTGCATGAGATTTGCTTTTTTTTTTTTTTTTTTTTTTTTTTAAAAAAATTCTAAATACACATCCAATTAAGTTCTTTGCTGGATTATTATTTATATTTAAAAGATTGACGATGGAAAAACAAACTTATGCATTTAGTAGAGCATGACCAAGGCCTAGTAGTCATTCCTTGGAGACTTTTTCAATTCTCATATTGCAATCATTAAGAAATACTAGGACCACTAAAATTCTTTTATTAATTATGATAACTTATTTCATAGTTAATACCACTTGTTGCTCCAAAGACAAATTTGAAGTCTCTACTTCAAAAAAATTGCCAAGACATTTATGTTGTCATTTTTATCCAAAGTATTTGCTCTTTTAAATAAAATAATTCTAAGAAAAAGCCTATGCTTTCTACTAAGATCTAATATGGCATGTAACAAAACATTTTTTTAGAAAGAGCCTTTACCACAACCTCTTTGGTAATGTTTTCTATTTTTCCAGCTTCTACATCTATAATTTTAAATAATTATTGACATTCTTTTGCCACTCTAAGAAGTGACTTCATAAAAAATCCTTTCCATTTCTATAAACTCTAAATTGCTAGCTATAAATGCAACTTCTAATCTTTAAGATTTATTTTCAAACTCCTTTTGGTGAACAAATTATAGACCAAAGAACATATGGAAAGAATAATATTAATTTTTTTATTTTTAATTTTTTTTTGTGCACCTTCATTATATAAGGCCATAAAAACTAAATTTAATAATTTTTGATACAAGAAGATAATGTTGATCTAGGCATTCATGCAATTTGTATAGACATTAATTAAATTCTATACAAACATGATGTAAAGAATGGTCATGTCAAATATAGTTTTTTTTTTTTTTTTTTTTTTTTTTTTTATTGTGACCAACAAAAGTGTATTGGCACATCTTAACTATAATATCCTACAATTTTTTACCACCTTTACAATAACATAGTTTTTCAATTATAATATTCTTGAAGAACTTATCTAAATCTTGTTCATGAGTAATTCATCTTCTAATCTCTTTTGTATTCTTTTGAGACCTTTAACATATATTGTATGTAGAACTAACATATTTTTTGCTTTAGTTCATTCTATCATTTTTGTGCCTAGACAATATATTTCAATAGTATTCTACAAAATGCTTTAGGAAAATTAATTACTCTAGTAAATTCTTTTATATTAAAATAGATGACATTGTACTTATAGAAACATGGACAATGTCATTCAATCCAATCTAAATCTATTATTACTTCTTTTTATCCTAAAAAAATATTATAAAAATCCTTAAAATTTGCCAAAATACCAAGAATACCCATGTCTTCTTAATAATATTAAATCTACCCCTCTTTTTTGTGATAATTGCAAATCTACCCTTCAATGTGATAAGCTACAACCTTCTTGTTTTTATAGTTACAACTATGGCCCAAAATGCATACCACATAGATTTTGGTGTAGCACTTTGCCTTACATCTTGGGCACCTCATGAAATGCCGCCTTTGTTGTTGCCAATGTTTAGGGTACACACTTGAGCTACATCAACTAGTTCTACTTTGGCCTTGATGTAATGGTGTGTTGATCAATTACTACAAGTGTTCTTGCCGCATACAAGAAGCACAATACAATGTAAAGAAGAGGATGGCAAGTCTACATGTAAAGATGAAATTACTGTGAGGCGTCAAAGTGAAACTTGTAGCCACACAGCAGATCCTCTCATCTTTCAAAACTGTAGTGGCAAATAAACATGCAAATAGACAGAGGCATAGGACAAATGCGTTTATGTTAATTTTTTTAGAATGAATATTGCGAATACCCACAGCCCAGTAGGAATTAGGGAGTTTGAGAAGGCTGTTTTATATTTACACCTAGGTAGTGTAAATCTCTGTATAGGCGCTAAAATAAATCTGAGATCGACAACATAGAGATGCTAATTCGCTGTGCAAGGCGCCGGGGAAGACTTCTCCGTTCCCGGAAGAGGCTCAAGTGTTCACGATAGTATGGCTACGCACTGCATAAGTGTGGGTGTCTAGGCGGTGATCAAAATTGACCACCTACACAACATCCACCAGACCCCTGGAAAAATTACGGTAGCAAAAAAACAGTTGATTCATATTGAAAGGCAATCATCCATACGATCGCTTATGGTATTCGGTAGAGAAACTCTATTGCGCATGTGCGAAAATACGCTAGAAATTTGTGCAGAACTCTTCAAAATTGTCGATAATAGCCTCTTGGCTCAAGAAATGTGCTGGATACTGTTGCCATCCATCAGAACTCCACCTTCATGTGACCCACAGGGAGCTGATATGATCCAAGGCGGCTAGATTGTTGTTGTAGCTGGGCCATGTGCATGACGTTGGGCAGCGAGTCGCTCCAATTCGTAAATTGCGAGACGAGATTATTATCAAAAGAATTCACCATTGTTTGCATCTCGGCAAAGTTACCAATGGGAGTGCTCATGGTGCGTTAAGAACTTCCATTGAAGCTATAGCCCAAATTTGCTTGAAAGTGATCGAAGTTGCAATGCCCATCTAGCATCGACCCTCGCTGCTGCGGGAGCTGTTGCAACCCAAACTCTGGAGAGCTTGTCGAGTCTGAGGTACAAAGAATATTTGACCACTGCGACTGCAGAACCTCCTCAATGCTCAGGAGGCTCTCGAGTGTCAAGTGGTCTAAAGGAGCAGGGTGCACGGCCCCTAGCTTCATCGAAAGACTCTGCTACACAAAAAAAATATGGAAAACATCATAACCTGATATGCATTACAGCAGATCTCTATCACCACCTTCAATTAAGCATAGAATGGCGGAGAATATGGGATGTACCTCGGCTTGGCATTGGAGGGACTGGACGTAATTGATAATTTCATCGAGCATGTCTGTTTTGCCAGTGACTTTGCGGCAGCCAGGAACAAGGTCCTGCAAGTACTTCATCCGCTTCCTAATCTTTTCGCAGCGCACCCACTCAGCCACGCTAAGGCTGTCAGTAGCTTGGCCTCTCCGAGCCCGCACACGAATGAAGTCCTGCTTTGAATACTCCATGAGTTTCGGGTTGCTCTACTTCTGAGTAACTTTTGGACTTGTGGCTAACTCGAATGAAGTTTAACTAAAGGATCGCTCACCCTTAGATGTTGGCCTGCCATCTTCTCCTTTACTACGTGTTGTGCTTCTTGCATGCGGCTAGAACACCCGCGGTCCATGATCAACACAAAGTTACCAAGAGGAGAAGGCCAAAGCAGAACTAGTCGATGTAACTCATTTGTGCACCCACACTTGCAACAACAGAGGTGGCATCCATTTCATGAGGTGCTCAAGATGTGAATGCAAAGTGCCATGCTAAAATTTGCATTGCACATGCTTTGGGCCCCAATAGCAACTAAAAAAACAAGAAGATTAAAGCTTATTATGTTGAAAGGTAGATTTGCAATTATCACATGGATCTTCTTGATATTTTGGCAAATTTCAAGGATAATTGTGATATTTTTTCTTTTATCTTCATACAAATAATAGAATTTTTTGCTTTCATTGTTGTATTATCTAGATAGTGCATTTTTTTTTTATTGCATATCTCCTTTGTTTAGTGCAAAGAAGCCATACCAACATTGAAATGTTAGAAAATCCATAATCATTTTGATTGTGTTATATAAATTTTTCTCAAAAAGAATTGATTTTGATTTTAATTTTGTATCATTTTCCTAGTCTTTTGATTCTCTTTTAATTCCTATGTTTCTTCTCTTTTGTTTATCAAATAAGTAGTTTGATTTACATAGAATATAATCTTATTATGCTAAAGATTTCATTGATTCAATTTTTTTTCTAAAATATCTATATTATTCATTGCTACAATTCAATTTTAATTTTAAACTTTTGTACCAATTAGATTCAAAAATTGATTTGCTATAGCAAAAATGTAAATGCATCATCTTTTATTTTCATTACATACCATCAATTCTAAGATGTTCCACTCTTAGCATTCAAAGAATTTATTTCTTTTATATTTACATTAGAACCAATATTGGTGGTCTTTTTGAACTTATCTAAAGTTTATTGTCAAGTATACTAGAATGAGTGTTTCTAAATTATCTTGTCGCAAGTAACAAAATTTGATTTTGTAAGTACTAGATCTGTAACCTTGTGCAAATTAATTATATGTGCTAATTTTCTCATTTGTAAGTAGAATTCCAAGAACTATCTTAATTCTTTGATAATCTATTTGATATGTTTTTGGATATTTTAAAGAATAAAATTAAAATTTCTAGCTATACATAAGGTTTTCTAAACCTTCATATGTTCAATTGCTTCTTTTATGTTATCTATTTCTAAATGAATCTTATCTAAGTCCCACCAATGTAACTTGAATTTATCAAGAATTTTAAGCTTATATGAAACTCCAAAAAAAAACTATTAAAAAAAATTAATGGTCTTATTGAAATTTTATAAATTTAAAATTAATTGAGGTAAATTCTTTTAATTTTAAAATATTATTTAATAATTTTTAAATATAGAATTTTAATTAATTATAATAAAAAGTATCAATAACATCTTAAATTAGATAAAAACTATGATATTTATTAAAAATAATATTTTTGAAAAAATTCAAAATATTTTGAATTATAGCTCTTGAGGTTTTTTTTTTTTTTTTTTTTTTTTTTTTCTGCGAAAAGCAAGGCTGTTGCAAGACTTTGCAAAACCTGATGAGGAGCACTAAGTATCTTAACTAAAACTTAGCTATGGAAAATTATAATTTTTAACAAGCCATAGAATGAGGCAATTATATTAAGTATATGAAGTTAGCACATAACCTTAGGAAACAATTTATAAAATATTAAAATTAAATAGCTTAGTTTATGAAACTGTAGTACACAAATGAACTTAGTTAACTAACAACACTTGACAAAGCTTTTGAAAATATTAAGCCTAGAAAGAATTTGACTATTATAGTACCTCGTGAGTCAACCATCTTTAAGCTAAAAAGACAAAGAGTTTCATTAGGACATAGGATTGATGACTAGTAGAAACCATACAAGCAATTATTGCATGCATAGTACCACTAAATCCTAAAACTTGGTATTGTTTGTAATTTCAAATTTTTTGCTTATTTTATATTATATAATAAAATTTAAATATTATTAGAAATTCATAGAAAATAATTAGAGATGATCACAATTACAATAATTGCTATGGTACTTATCTCGCCATTGCCATGGATTGGTATGTCCAAGACTATTTAAGCTTCAATACTTGTTTATGGTTCAAACTATGACCAATTCTATCCATAGATACCTTAGCTTGTATAGATCAAGAAACTAAATCAAAAGCCAAGTATGTTGTTGTATGGCATGATTTTCTATCTAAAAATATATCAGGTAACTAGCTATAGAAAATTTAGCTTTAACTTATTGGACAAGTTCTAATAAATGATGTATTCTTATTATATAGGCCAAAAAAATACAATAGTATCAAAAGATGTTCTATTGGTAAAATCCTTTTAAATTTAAGAAGCTTTATACATAAGGCTTTCTAAAGCATATAGAAATATCCTAACATCCTTTTCTATACCAAATTATAAGTAATTATTTGTTAGTAAGTTTGATTTTCCATAAGCTCAAAGAAAATCTATAATCCTCTTACAAATCCATCTTTATATCATAATTTTGCTATGGCTCCATATCTCTATCTTTAACATATATTTAAAGTCTTGGCTTCTAAAAATCCCTTCACTTTATATAAAATGCCCAAATTGTAGTAAAATCCTTTCAAAATATTTTTCTCCTATAAAAGATTTTTTCTCTCCAAACTTTAGAAATTTATATCTCTTGATCCAAATGTTCAATTTTTCTCAAATTTCTAGATAATTTAAAATTTATCCTTAAGCTTTATGACAAAAAAAATGAACCATAAATCTAAGAAAAATTATTTAGCATCTTAGAATTGTTAGCAAGTGCTTTAATCTCTAATTTACAAGAATCCAAATACTATTTTCTCTATATCTCAAAACCCCAAACTTTAAATGCCACGACATTTGTATATAAAGTTAATTAACATGATAATATATATTTTTGGTAATTTTTAGCCAAAATCTTATCAAACTTCTCAAGATATAGCTCAAAACATAACTACTAGTAAATCAAGTCACTTACTATTCTTAGATTATAAGTGTTGACTTCAACTTCTTATAATTCCTTTATCTTAGCTTAGAATTCATCAAGCATTATATAAAAAGTATAGCCAAAAAAGTGCTTTCTCCAACCACAATCACCAATCCTTCATTGCTTCTTGTATGTGTGCATTATGTACAAAAGAGCAATAGTAGATACAAAACCAATACCTTAACTTTGAGCATCTATATCCCTTTCATAAAAACTCAAAATGATACAAAAGTTATACCAAAACCATAGACAAAAATCTAAATTTTTTGATCTTAGCCTTCCAAGTTTGAATGACCTTGAAAGAATAACCCTAATTTCTAGTAAGGCCTCAAGGAGCCTCCTTGAAGCCCATTGGACATGCCTTTTGGCTAGTAGCAATGGAGATTTTCATCATCCATCTCTATTCATCTATATGGATACCCAAACTACTCTTTTTTCTACCAAAATCCCTCTCCAATCCTTTTTCTTATAAGATTTATATAATATATTTCCTAAATACCAAATAAGAAAACAAAATAAGATTTTAAGAATCACCAATGCTCCATAAAGGTGGCTCTAAATATATAAACTATTATCAACATAAAATCAACTTCAATAATAGCCCTTTTAAACAAACCACTTCAAAGTAGTAATCTAATCACATTTTGTAACCAACTAAAATCTAATAATATGGTTCTTACCACATTGTATAATGATTTTTACATTAAATATTTATATTTATTATTTTCACATAGTAGCCAAACCACAATACGATAGCATATTAATAGGCAATGTCTCCACCAAGCATTCTTCCAAAATCAAATTCTAAGAATAGATAAATATTAACCTAATTGATCCCATGATGATGGTCAATTACATCAAAATATTACAAAGAGAATACTTTGACTTCACCTTTACCACAAAGGAGGAAGCCAAAGGAGCCGTACAACTTAGCCCATTAAACTTTGACATACACTTACTCTATATCAACTTCTAGAAGCCTCAGTTTGATCTATTAGTACAATATATATATATATATATATATATATATATATGATTCATATATGAATTTGGTTCTCGAAGTTACATGACATATTTTATAGGACATTCTCCAAACATCTGTGCAGAAATAGGCAAGGTAGTGTAAATTGGGAAATAGAAAAAGTACTTGAAGAAATCTTCCACACTGCAAGTATGTGTACTTGTAGAAAATGTCAAACTTCTTTCCTCAATTATACTGTTAATTTCAGTGACTACAAAAGAGGAAGAATTTTTTCTGGAATACAAAGGTATTCTACAATATAGCAATCAATGCCTTGAGTTGAGCCATAACAAAGCCAATTGCACCTGAGTCAAACAAGGCAAGAAAAAAACAACACAAGAAACAATTATCACAACTACATCAAAGGCATGAAACCAATGCTGTGTGGTAGAACAAGAAACCAAAACATGGCAGAACATTGGCAGCAGAGGCACCACAACCAGACCTCATATCCATCAATCTGGAATCATCTTTCTATACCCCACACATCCATGCTTAGAAATCCCTCTTGCAAATAATCTGATTCCAAAATTCAATTGGTTGGAAGGGGAGGTCACAGTCATGACAAGACTTTCAATTTCTCGGGAGAGAATGTACAAGACCAGCACAATTCCAACTCCACAGTTTCAGACAACACCATAGAAGGCACCATGTCCACTTTAGGTTAAGGAATACCTTGGATCCGTTGGATGAGAGTACTCTACTTTGATTCATGGTGTGTAAAAGGTCTCAATAGAATCATTAATGAACCTTTCAAACTGACTAAATCAGTTCAACAAGGATGCCCACTGGCTCCATTCTTTTACTTCTTCATAGCAGATTGTCTTGGCTATCTTGTCAAAAATGTAGAAGGTGCAAAAGGAATCACACTACATGGGCTCACCTCCAAAATCACAAATCAAGAATTTGCAGACGACACAAAACTATATCTCATTAGAACACTCAAAAATCTACTATGTACAACGCAAGCCCTAGACACCTTCAAACTAGTGGCAAGAAACCAGATCAACTGGAACAAGTCAACAGCCATTAGAATTACCAACAAAGCCAAACCATTCAAATGGTAAGAGGTTGAAAACTTGCATTGGTTAGACCCAGACGGTACAATACAGTACTTAAGCTTTACAATTGGGGTTTGGGTCTTTGCTGAAATTTGTTTTCAAGTTGCTCTTATGGCTTTAAAAAGGGAACTCGCTCATTCGAGCACAAAACGGCTATCACTTGCCAGCCGGATTTTAATAGCAAATCAAGTCTTACTTTCTTCCATTTGGTACGTAGCCTCCTGCTAGAGCCAGCACCTCCAATCCATCAACCAAGTGCGTTCTTTAATCCAAAACTACACCTGGTCGCAAGCAGGGGACATGCGGTGCAAGGCCAAAGTGAGCTGGACATCCTTAATTCAACCCCAGTCCAATGGCGGGATCAAGTTACTAGATCCTGAAACCCAAATGAATGCTCTGATGGCAAAATTGCTCCTGAAGGAGCTTATGCCGAGGACAGAGCCGTGGAAGACCTTGATACAACACAAAATACACTCCCTGCGGCCAAAACGCGGCGGCAACAGCCACCCAACATACACTTCATAATATATGTCACCAATGCTCATGGTTCGGGGTCCAACCTTTCAAGCCACTTATTTACCCCACAACCTGGCAAACTAGTCAACATAATTAGCCTTGACCGGCAAAGAATTTGAGTGGCGACAACTAATGGAGATTTTCGTACAACTTGCACCAACCCGAGTTAAGAATACAGCAAAACTGCTTGGTGTATTGGTCTCATTAAGAGCCTCGCCTTGGACCCCGATGGCCAAAATTTCTTCCAAAAATCTACATGGGAGCCCCAGTTCTATTTCATTTCAGTCAAACATGGTGTCAAAAATGTCTTCAGTTTCACTGTAGAAACCTCCAATCTTCATAGATGTCGCTGAAAGAAAAAAGAAAAAAAAATCAAGAAATTATAGTACAAGATGATAGTATCCTATCTGTAGCCAATGTCACAAGTTACTTTCGGGCACATCCCACTGCATGGCTTGCCTTCAATTGTGACCCTACATCTGGTGAAAAATTTCCTACAATCTCAACCTTGTAAATGTACAAGTATGGTGGGCATTCCACCACAACCCTTATTCGACCTCACACCTAGCCGTGAAAAGCAGAACACCCATTCCCCATAGTTTGAGGATTTGCACCCGATCCAAGACCTTCGTGAGGCCAACCTTTGTGAGGCCAAACTCCACCGTGCATCTCACATCATCATGTGGAGCCCCGACAAGTCATCCATCGGGACGTCCAGTCCCATCAGGAAGTCGTCTGTCTGTTGCAAAGGGTCTTCCAAGTCAAAGTCCAGCCAAGTCCCCATGTCCGCTTGAGCCATGTTCATCTCCTCCATTCCAGGCAGAGGTATTGCTGATAAGTCGATTTGACCCTCAGCTTCCATCGCCGCTTCCTGGAATGCTGGTAAACTCGACATCACTTCATCCTTCGCCACATGGCTGTCTGCTGCCGCAGAATGCCCCTCATCGAGCAATCTGGCTTTGCCGAAGTGCTGCTCCGCGGCCCTCGGCACCAACCCTTGGACGGACCTCAACAGAGGTCCTGTCTTTTGCCTCAGTTTCGTCTTCATCTTCCGCTCTCCCTTGGAATTGCTTTGACCTGGCCTTGACCCTACATCCTTCCCCTTTCCATCCCTCTCTCGTTCGCTACGTTTACCCTTGATACCCCCAAACCCATTCGAGCAAAAGCTATTCACATCACGAGTGCTTGTATACCCAGAAACATCAGAAACATCTTCCAGAAAGGCCTCTCGTTCTCTAGCTCGAGACGTCCAGTCCCCGTCTTTCAGATGACCGCAATCCACAGCAGCTGATTGCCCATCATAGGAGCCTCTCCCTGATTCTGCAGCACGTAACTCACCAATTATTTCTATCAACATTGCTCCACCAGGCATGGTTCAGGAGGAAAACAACCCAGCTATGATACGAATTGAACGTTCAAGTGAGCTGGTAGGCAAACAGATCATCAACACAATATTTTCACAAACTGATTTGGAGAAATATGTTGCCTTGTAGTGTGCAGGTTTAGGGTTTAGGATTCTCGTGAGAAAATGAAATCACGTTACTGCGAGCAACAAACACCTCCATGCGCATAGGAAAAAACATCGTCAGAAAATATTCACATAACAAAAGATGCATCATACAGAATCTTCACGATGCGATACTAACTCACCTACAGCTCCCAGTGACGTCATCCCCTCGCTACTAACTGCCCCAGCACCACCAGCCTTAATCGGATCCATGGTAACATCGACACTGACATCCACTGGGCTGGGTGAAACACAGAAAAGTCGCTCGCGTAACTCAGGGTCTATTATACAGCTGTGACCAGCCTCGAAGTTCTGGACCCTTATCAAAACTCGCTTAGCAAACGCAAGTGCAGCCGCTCTTGCTACTTTGGCAGCAGCTCCCTTACTGGAACGACCCCCCTGCAATCCGAGACACGCATACATTGTCAACAACTTAGATTTTCACTGCTTAAAGCCAAAGTTTTGGCTGTGAAGCTCCACAACTATATTCAAAATAGCAGGACTTCTGCAACAGCTAAAACTTCACATTTATAAGTTAAACAAGCACATTTTCAGATATTTACCGATTTCTTTTTACACGCCGATTCCACAAGTCTGTCCATCGCGAGTTTCTCGCGTGCTCTGCAAAACCACTCCAATGAAACCAGAATCAACTTCGAACAGTCGAATCACTTACAGGCATGATTCTGCTCACAGCACAGGCGAACAAAGTACTTGATACATATTGCAGAAGTACCGCCTAAGCAGTGGTAAAACTTACACCAAGCGAACTGGAAAATCAAAACTGTGGTTTCGATCCCACCTTTCCTCAACCGCTCTATTTTTTACAACAGCACTCTCAAGTCTGCACAAATGCTCCATGTTGCTTGAAACCTGCACGTTAATCAACACACGCCATTAGTGCAATTTAAGTAACAAGACATACATTTCTTACTTCACATTCTATAAACATGTTCTGCATCCAATCCCTCTTACTTGCTCCGAAAGCTGAATTTCCAGTCTTCTCAACTCTTCACCAATATCATCGTCCTCATGGTCATCCTGTTGCATTCACCATAGCCAAAAAATTAAATTAAATTAAAAGTAAAAAGTAAGTAAGAAAACCGATGAACAATTCTTGTAAACAATAATGATGATAACAATAAGAAGAAGAAGAAGAAGGAGAAGAAGAAGAAGAATAGTAATAATGGGGGCATCAGAGACTTTTAAACAACACCCGTCTCTCTCCAAACTCTAAAAATGGAAGTCAGAAACTATCGCGACTGCAAAATCATAGCATACATGCCATCCGTACCTACAACCACACTTAGATTAATTCCTTCACAAACACCACTCATTATCAAAGCGTCCTGGTCGTCTCTAAGATACATGCATTGAACACTTACCACGTGCACGGGTAGCAGCCCAATGCTGGTTAGCTCCACCGCTAACCTATCGTCCAGGTTCATCCTTCCATATTGCTCTTCCCATTCCACGGACCAGTTCTCAATCACCCTCCCACACCCTGCATCAACATCCCTACCAACCACTTCCGCGTCATTACCCCAATCTGAGCCAGCTGATTCGTCTCCATCATTCACAAGAACAATATCTTCTCCATCTGTCACATCACCGAAGTTTAACATCTCGTCATTACACTGAATTCATCCACAAACTGCTGCTTGCTGTCCATCTAACTTAAACAACCAGACTAATAATGTCGCATCGCAGATTCTCTTCTGGACCAATTGCAAATGCACTAAAGATGCACACCCCAAAGCATTCCACTGCAATTACGCCCATTCTACCCATTATCCACCACTATCCAAACATATACAAACCCTCGCTAAATCTGGTAGCCAACCTTGATCCTCATCCCACGCCTGACACCCTTGGCCACCAGACATGGGTAACCCTTCGCTGTACCCTTCCTGTCTTGCCCCTGTGCTCGACCACTCTGACACGGGTTTCGCGCTGTCAACATCCATATCCATTTCGGTGTGCGTACTGGGAGGCAGACGAGAATTGGAATTTTGGTCCACGCAAACCTCTTCATATACAATTTCACTGCCATCGTCCTGCCTTTCGCTAATGAAAGCAGACAGTAGCAGTTGTGACAATGGAAAGACTTTGTTGTACCATTGCCTGCTACTGCCTCTCCTGAAATTCCTATACTTCCAGCTTTGCTCTTTAGTCTGGATCAAATCTTTCACATCGTCACCCCCTAAAGGTCTGTCACTAATAACTGCAGATTTTACTGCTCCTTCTAAACTCTGAGATTGTGACATAGCGTTGCTTTCACCCAACACAGCCATCTGGAGACAACATCAGACACCTTGCTTGAGAAACTTGAGTACAGTTTTGAACGCAAAAAACCTATACCATCGCAACCTCCATTGTGCCATGCACACAACATATAAACAAATATAACCTGCCCGCTACAATTATGTATCGATGCCAAAAGCTAACGGAACACACGCACACATATATATATATATATATATATATATATATATGAGTGTGTATGTGTGGGTGTGTGTGGGTGTCGCGCACGAGAGAGAGAGAGAGAGAGAGAGAGAGAGAGAGAGAGATGCATTTAATTCATAACTTACTCGTCTATGAAGAAATGACAGGTCATCAGAAGTCACACAAGAGAAATACGGTTCTGCTTGTCTCCAGAAAGTATTGGAGCACGCTGATGCTGCATAAACACATGAAAAACATAAATACAAGCAAAATCGTCCTAGGAATATCCACAAAAAAAAGTATAATCCCTATCAAATCCAAAGAAAATCACGGTTGAAGTAAATGATCGCATACTAACAGTAAGAGTTTCTCAGAACTGAAAAGAAATTCAACTCTGCCTTGAAATAACATGACATACACAAAATGTTACAAGAGACGACCATGAGGAATTCTACACCTATAAAAGTCTTGAATTACGACATGTTACAAAACTATAGCTGCAAATCCGAAGCCTGCGTCCCTTCAAACGAAACGATGTCTCACCACTGAACTCCACAGCTTGCTGAACTGCTCTGGAGAGCTGCTCATGGTCATCATCGTCCTCTGTCCAAAAAAAACAACTCAGTTCACTACCTGCATTCCATTGCAAACATTTTCAAATTCATAACTAAAACTATCTCTCAAAAGAATCATCAAATCACACCTGTCATCTCAGATCCGACGTTGCCAAGTAACCGCCTCGGCCTGGCAGAAGTTTTTCGATCAGCACTGCCCTTCTTACTGCCTGGACGCCCAACTCTGCATACACCAATCCAAAAAGCTCTCATAAGTGATCCATGAAACAATCAACACTACGAAGCCTCCACACGTAACATCTCAACGTTGAATTATGTAAAACAGCCTCTGGAGGTTAAACACACTTTCCACAGCAAGCAACCAATTTGCACCACAAATAAACAGAACCACAATTAGGACAAGCAAACAAGCATTCCCCACTCATTCCAGTTAATTCATTATGCTGCACTATCACTCGCACAACCTCAACCTTGTCTCCAAATTTAGCGCACATACCCGCCCAGTTTCGTCTCCACTGCAGCCCTTCCACTCCTTGTCGACTTCGTATTGACGGGTGACACCTCCACCTTCTCAAACGAAGAGCTCACCGCCACCAACCGCGGTGTCACGGGTACCCTTCCAGTCCGTCCGTGTCGTCTCACTCCGTCCGCACCTCCACCCTCCTCTGCAAATGTCATCTCCTTCTTGATCGTCGCCAGAACACTACCAGTTTTCTCCTTCCCTCCATTCGCTTTACGCTCTCCTTCCTCCGCTTCTCTTTTCCGGCTCCTTTCCTTGCTCTTCGCCACCTCATCAACACACTCCACCGAAACCACAGCAACCGACACTCGCTCCGACTGTGCCTTAATGGAACCACTCGACTGCCCAACCGATGATCGTTTTGCAAAGGTCGACCCCCCAACTGCGCCCAAAGGCATCGCCCTTGCGCTTAAAGCCGCACCTGCAACACTTGCATCCCTCAACCCATGGCCTGCATTGACGCCTCCGTCCGCCTCCTCTTTTTCAAGAACGGAGATGCTTAAAGGCGGGTTCAGGTTCACGCGTCTTGCTCGTGCCACCTTCTGAGGTCGAGAGCTCCCCCAAGAAGCTACCGGCGGCGATGACGACCGCGACGGGGCTGATCCCTTCCTGTTCAAGGCGCCAGACGGCACCGGCACCTTTGTCGGACTGGTCATCACTGATGCCTTCTCCCGAATATCTATGACTGATGACGAGCGACCTAAATGCCCAGCCTGATTGCTGCCTGCAACCAGATTTGACCTTTTCGCCTTCGGCATTACGCCAGGACCTGCTACGCGCACTTCATCTCGAGAAACCAATCTGTAATAGCTCACCCAAAGCACATCCATTCATCCACACTAGCAAACACCAGTAAAATCACTATGAATACACCTCACCATTGCAACGCAAACCATTACGCTCGTTCCTATAAATAACAATTCCAATCACTATTGATGCAACCAACAGCCACAGCAAATCTCGTACTTGACTCCCATCTTCACATTCACACGATCCCGCTCAGACAAAATAGAGCGATCCACTTTCCCTACGCCTTGAGATGAACCATCCACCTCCACTTTGTTACCTCCCCGTATGCTTCCACTGTTCCCCATATGCAAAACAGCTTCTGCTCTCTGCACAGACAATGTGCCATGCACAGGCCCCGACGGTACCGACCTGCCCAATCCACGCGCCAAGCTCAGCTCCCCGTCAACCACATCCACAACTTAGCACTCCACTCATCCTCCAACCCATATGGTCCCAATCCATCATCTTCCATGATAACAATGACAGTCCCTGATTAGTGCTAACAAGGCGTATCCGCACATCATCCTACCCCAAGGTCACATTCTTTTTGCAATCAATTCAGATAGTGTAATGCCTACCGCGAGACTTCGGTTCACGGCCCAGTCATTTATGACAAAAATATACCTCTCTAATTTTAAATGTTATCAGCTCCATTAGCCTCTCCATCCATTTCAAATCCAACACTCATCCATGATAACAGAAACAATCATGAACAATCATGAACCACCCAACCTGTAACCATGGCCTTCGCTAGGACGCGATCGACCATCAACAGCACCACGATGATGTAGAGCACTACCCTTGTGCTCCCGCTCTTCATCCGTGCCACCGCTGGCGCTGCCCACCATGACTGCCTCCGCCTTTATGGTAGCTGACCTTCGACCTTTCATCTTTGTTTTCTCATATCGCCCTCCCCCTCCTACAGAAACTCTTTCATTTTCATCCGAGTGAGTGGTGGTAAAGCTACTCAGCCTTGGGCACTCTCGTTCTCTTTCTTGCACCCCTGAAGACCGCTGCACGCTCAGATTACTCGGTCGTCCCTCAGGCTGCAAGACGACCCCCAAATCATAAAGCATGAACAGTTTTAAACACTTATAATCCCCGTCAATCCCACATCCTACAAACCGTACAACATCACATCACATTCAAACGCGACATCTTGTGTGTATCACTTGAAAGCGCATCCATAAAATGTCTCACTAATATCTAAAGCATTCCCTATTCCTCAAACCGAGTGTTCAAGCACACAGGCTGGCAGCTCCGACGTAACAAAAGTGCACAACATCGCATTAACATTTAAACCTATAGAGCAATTCGAAGTAAATAGCAAATCCCTCAGCACCTCCGACAGCAACAGGAATGTTTTGAGAGCCTCCCTATTACGTATGGACTCACTAGTCATAACACCTCACTACCTCCTACATGCATTTTCAATGCAGACATCCAAATCCCCTCATTCCGCAAACACAATTCGCACGCTTGTGGCCTTACCCGTGCATCTGCCAACGAAGTCCGCATTCGCTTGTTAATCATTCCGCTCTTACTCTTATACCCTCCTCCCTTCTGCAGCCCAGAACCCTCACCGCTGCTCGAAGACCAGCGGATACTCGATTTCGTCAAGTGCCCCGACGATGCACCTCTCTGACCACGCCCAAGACTATTTCGATCGTGTGAAACCGACTCCAGTCTGTTCCGTTTCCGAGACTGCATTGCATACAGAAATCTGTCCAGCTTGATCACAGCCTCTGACAGGTGCCGCACGCGCTCTCTGCCAGTTCACGCGATCACAAGCATTCAAAACTCTGCCATACCATCTATAGAGCTCTTACAAAACTCATTTACCTCATGCTTCCATGCAACAAACATACTTGGCCCTGTTGCAACCAAAAGTCACGACTTTAAACACAACCACGCTTGCTTTCCCATTCTCCATTCCTGCACAATATCACATCCCGTTCATGACATTTCCCGTTACTTACTTCGCTCTTGATACGCCCTCCAACAGCCCCGTCCTCATCCGCTTGACCTCTTCCCCGCTGCAACCCTCCAGCGGCTTCGACTGCAAGCTTCCCAAACTGGTGTCATTACTCTGATGACCGCTCACCGCGTTCATCGCCCGTCGTAGCTCCACTTGCGCATTCGATTTCGCATTTGGCAAGCTTACGCTCTCCAGAAACAACACACTCGTCAGAACCGAAGCCTCGCCGTGGGAACTAGGCGACCCGCCTGCGCCCGTCGCCCGACTCTCATGACCATCTCGAAAACTGTGAAACTTGTCCAAAATTGCACCAAAGTTCCGATGCGGAACTCCGCCAATATCTTCCAGGACAGCATCGGCACTGCTCAAATTCGAAGAATCCAACCTCTGAATGGATGCCATCCTTCCACCACGGCACCACAGCGGTGCCACAGACATCGCTAGCTCATCTCCTTCAGCTCGATCATCAAGCTTTGTAACATGCTCCCAGCCCTAGCCCGGACCATGCATCATCTAACTCCACAGTGCGGAAATTCATTAGATGATGCCATTCCTATGATAATCACACTTGACACGGCCCTAGCCGTTACTATTGCCTCCTATCTAGGATGTACAGAAGAACCATTCGGCATCGCCTTCCGTCCTCCAAAAATCAAGTACGTACAAAGCACCTGGGCACACAGGATTAGGTTACCAGCAAGGGAGCAGGGTGATACCTGAGAGTATGCGCGATTGGCCGAACTCCTGTGTTGTTATTAAACAACGAAGAATAAAGGAATGCCTTCTGTTATCATGCATGTAGGAACAGTCTAGCATTCCCTACTCCAAAATTTGATCAACCAATTCATGTGTGGCTGTCATTAATGTTGCCATGCCATCCCTCCAACTTAACATCATCTTTTAAGCTTCCTACCATGCAGCACAGGAGCAGCAGAATTTAAAACACCGCAAGGATGCAATTATTCCCTATCATAATTGGATGACCACCCCCAGGGCAAGTAGATGCTAAGGAGGTGTGATCTGCATGGTCCAGAGTAAGAGCTGAGATACTAGCTGGACAGTTTCATTTCATCATACTACCTCACAGTATTTTCCAGTGGAGTTTCGCAGTGCCAATATAAATAGGATGAAACCCCAAGCACTGCAAGCAGTCAAGCAGATTGAACGGAAATCAACCTCTCCTCCGGTAATCAGATCACGAATTCGCGACCAGGAGCCGGAACTGTGTAGACTAACGCCATCCCAGGATGAGTACGGTGAAAAAGTTAGCTCACAATCCTGGCACGCAAGCAAAAAGATCACAATTTCAAGTAGCGTACCTGGCAGGAGCAAATGGATGCACTCGGTGGGAGTGGGGGTATCGGTGAACGCTGTAAAATTTGATCGAAGAAAATGACAAGGACGACGGCCGTGAGTGCGCAGGAAGGAGGGTGCTGCAGTAACGAGGGCGATGCGGATAGATGGTTTGGAAGGATGGGGAAGTGACGATAGCGATGGCGATGGCGAGAGGTTTGGCTAGGGTTTGAAGAAGGCATGGCCTGGGATTTGGTCCACAGTCATGAGAAACCATACCATACCATACCATGCCAAACCAAACCGAAGTCTGAAGAAACCGAGACCAGGCAGACGAAGCCCGCGGACAAACCCCCCCCCCCCCTCGTTCCCCGTTTCTCGTCCCCCGTCCGTCTGTCTGGAACGACACTCGTCCCCCTCCTCCCTCCCGTCCGGAACCCAGTTCCAGTCCAGAGGGTATTCAAGCCCAACCCAGCTTCGTCCGTCCTGGGGATGGCGGTGTAGTTGTAGTAGTAAAACCACTCACTGTCTGTGTTGCTGCTGCTGCGCCCATGGACACGGTGGCGATTCAGGGTTCAGCACACACTCCAGGATGGGGCCTCCTCTTTCCTCCTCCTCCTCCTCCTCCGCCAGATTCTCTTCCATGCAAGTCCCTTACTAAACTTCCTTCCCCTTCCTCTCTCACACCATTCTCAGTAGCCCTGGAATAGAGTTCCCAGACCTGCACAAGGATTTCCGCCACTCTGCCAATCATGTTACATTCCATTTCAGCCTCATTCTCCTTGAGCCTTTCCTTCCAGCGTGTGCCTATCCCACAGCTTATTAAAATGTAACATTTACAAAAACTTCATTCAAATGTGTAAGTCCATACAATTTGAGATTGCAAGCAAGTGAGAAACTATAAAGAAAAAACATTTATAAACAACAGAATATGAAAACTGATGCCACTTATCAAAAATTCCAACAAATCAATTGTTATTCTATTTGAACAAAACACCTAATAAATCTATAACAGAAGAACATAAAATGATTTTTATTTTATTTTATTTTATAGTTAAGACCATGAATCATTTAAAATAGTCAACAACAAACTTAATTAAATATTCATCCATGTTTGATATAACAAATAAACTCTACATGTGCTCAATGAAGTATATATATTTATATTTATATTTAAATATTTATTGTACTTTTGTAACAATGGTATTTGATAAAAAGAAACACAGATCTTAAAACATAACAAATTCTCCTTCTGGCTGTAAAGTCAAAATATTAATTTATAAGTAAAAAAAAGAAAAGTTGTGATAATGATACAGTAATTTATTCAATATTTTCCAACTCTTACATAGAATCTTTAAAAGTATATGAATATCAAAAAAAGCTTATCTTTTTCTTATCAATGAACAATACAAGTTTTTTTCTTTTTTTAATTATTAGATTATATATATATATATATATATATATAATTTAAAATAAATAGACTTATGTCCTGAAAACAAACAAAAGATCTATGAATTGTATGAAAATTTGTTTCTAACATTTTGATGCACAAGAACATGTATCTCTAGTATAATCTACATTGGTATTGATGTGAGTTTACTTATTTGGTAACATATTTTGTTAGCATTAGACAGTAGTTAATTTTATAATGTAACTAGATATTTTTGCACAAGGATATATTTGTGTGTGTGTATGTATGTGTAAATATCTATATACACATACTTAACAAAAATTGAAAAAATTTGAACTGTTAGGTTAAACAAGTAAGTAATATTATCTTCTGGTTAAATCTAGTTCAAAATTATAAGACGAATCAGTTTTTTACTTTGTCTACTTTGTTCGAGAAACATTAAAAAAAAATCCAATTGTTATATTTTAAATTTAGAATTAATAATATTTTTTCATTCAATTTTTTAAATAATTATATACTAAGGGAATCTAAATTGTAACTACTAGATAAGAGCAATCAATTACAGCAAAATAAAAGATTTTCACATTCTAAATTTTCAATCAAAATTATTGCAATTTATATTAGTTTATATTATTAGTTAATGGGAATAATTTGAATTTATTTCTTTTTGTGAGCTTGATGTATTACTTTTTTATTTTATTTTATATCTTGATGTATTCTTACGGGAACCGTTAGGTGGACACCCTCTTTTTACTGCATGGACACCTCTCATGTCCCGCATTTCATTTACACTAAAATTTTGAATTTGAAAAGTATAATCACAGTATTCTGGATGTCTTCCTAGCACTCTATTTGTAGATATAAATGAAGTAAATTATTAAGTTGTTTTCTGCTATTTCATAAGAAAATAAGGTATATTTCGAAACCTTTTTTCCAAACTTTTCAGCCATTGGCATCCTTAGTAATAAGAATTCTTCGCAATTGTTCTTTTGCGAAAAAAGTGATGATAGAAAGCATAAGAAATTCTAAACCTGCTCTGGCTTTCTTCTTTCTTGTTGTTAAGGACATAAAATACGCGAAGAATCTGTTTAGATGGCCCTGTTGAGAGGGATGCTAAGTTAAGATTTCTCACTCATCACTTGCGTACGATCGATCCTCCGCGGGGGTTTAGAATACTTTCGCGTTTTACTAAAATGTCGTTATTTTCATTAGCCGACAGAATCTCCGCTTCTATTGTTCAGTGTTAGATTTGGCATCTTCAACGCCTGACATTGCAAATTGTCGCTATTTCGATGCAGTCCTGTACCGGTGTTGGGAACATTTCGACAGCAATAGATTTTATGAGAGTAGATGGATTGGTTGATAGTGTTGCAGATAATCTAGAATGAGAACATATTGCACACTGCAGGGTTTGCGATAATGGAACAGGTAAATGTGGTGAATTGGAATTTTCAATGATAAAAAATTTGTAACAGTTTCTACTTGTGGAAACACGATTGGCTTCGAGAGGGTGAACAGATGCCTTCTCGCTCTGTTCGGTAAGTGTTCCGAGATACCACCACTATTTTTCCAAGTTACCGACATAGCTTCGAGACAGGGATTGTAGCACATTCAGATGCAATGTAGACAGATGTTACATTAATTACCTGTGTGGACATTAGTACTGGCTGATGATTTAATTTAGATTTAACTGAGGTGTTTAGTAGTGGTGTCCGTTACTTGTTACATTAGGTGCTGTGCAGAGGTAATCCACATACAGTTTCGATTGCATATTTGAAAGGTGCGCTAAAACCTGTTAGAGCGGATAGTGCTAAGAAAATCTGCAAAGTGAGCGGTGAAACAAGGGTCAAGTGTGGACAATTACTGGATGACTGATCGTCGCTGATAGTACATTGTCATCGATATCATGGGCGTTACAGGAACGTAAGTACTAATCGTCACACTTCCACGGCATTTGGGATATTTTGACGAATAAAGTGAGAGAAATTCATGACATAATGACATTAGGTTGGTGATGTGCCATCGAATGACACAACAAACTTAGTGATAGCTGTAAATGCCCATAATGTGCTCTTCAACACAGATGACAAAACAACGACTACAACTCGCTTGTTACTGCACACTCGAATTAGCACCGAAAAATATTACGCAAAACTAGGAACCTTTACAGATAAATTGTCAACGAATACAGATATCTGATTGAGCTCTGGCTGAAAATATCTATTCAGCAGCCTCAAGCTCATCAGGAGAGTAATTGTTGGTAGAAACCCCTGCGTAGTTAACCTTGTCGAATCTCACAACGACGGGGTACCTCACGCCAGGTGCCTGAAGCAAGTCAATTAACATGTATGAGATTGTGGTTACCTCTAGAAGAACTATCAGAAGATGTATGCATGTAAGACTGATGAAACCCAAATTCGTCAAACTGGTGCTTCGATTTGAAGCCAATGCAGACAGCTTACGGCGTGGCTAGGATTCTCTTCACACTTATTTGATCAAAATATAGGATCAGGATGAACTATTCATTCAATAATAAGTTCCACACGAAGATCAAGGAATTAGCAAAAATCAGCTGTGGTGACCAGCAAGAAGGTGACTGTGAGAAATGTTTGATACTTAAGCCACTTTCAACGTCGAGGAGGAGATGGAACGGGAATTACCTGGTCGACGGCAACAACCTTGCCGGTGTCGTTAAACCAATAAGACTCGCGCCTCAGAACCTTAACGACGCTGCCTCTCTTGGGTCCAATGACTGGCTTAGCCTCTTCCTTGACAGGGGCAACAGGTGCGCCAGGGGCGGCGGCCTCCTCGGCCCGCACCACCATCCTTCCGGAGTTGCGCCTTGACATCATCACTGCAGGTCGACATTGAACTCTGCTAGGGAACATCGACGAGGTGGCGGATCCAGTAACAATGGCGTTGGACACCACGCCCACGAAACTGGAAGCAGCGGTGGCCATATCCACAGATGGGGTTACTACACAAGACAAGGCGAATGGATGCAACGCACAGGCTGAAGCCTGCGTGGGGAAAAAACAGACAGGAGAAGGGTGAATGCTGCTGCTGCTATTACAATAGACGGGAGTCACAGCTATGGAGGGTGGAGGAATCGTGTGGTTATGGAGCGTGGCGAGCATGTGCACTCTCTCGCCTTATCCCCTCACAAATCGATACTGCCCCTCCCCATTGGCCACTCCACGGATAACAGCTCGTATCCACCCTCTCCCCCTCTTCTCACTCTTCTCTTCTCTCCTCTCTGCAGTCCCCACCCCACGCCTCTCTCTTTCTTCATCCCCATCAACCCATTCATCCATAAATTCATCCATAAATTCATCCATCCATCCATCCATCCATCCATCCATCCTTGCCGATGGCTTGCCACTCGGTCACCTGTTTGATTTGCTCCGCCGCTACTGTCATTGCACCTGCATTTGTTAAGCTTCTTTTGAAATTGTAAATTATCCAAATTAAAAATAAAATTTTATCCAAAAGAAAGAGTTTATACTCCTAGAAGTTCTCACTAAAAATATTACTAATTTCTTTCGTTTGGTGAAAAAAATAAAATAAAATAAAATAAAATCTCCTTTGAAATATAGTGTAAAGTGAGAAGATGCTATGAAATGAACCAATTTATTATTTTATTACAGTTTTATCTGTACAAAAATACCTATATATATATATATATATATATATATATTCATACATTATTTTTCATTTTTATTCTTACAATTGTAAATAGTATAAAATATAATTATTATTTTAATTTTTTGAAACTAAAATTGATAAAGAAGTAAATTTTAACTTGCAAAAATTAATTTAAAAATCTTAGAAGTACATAACTGCATCCTATGTAGATTATTAATATAAAAAAATATATAGTAGAATCTAATCTTCTATATTAATAATTTAAATTAGACTATAAAAAATTAATATTAGAATTTTTAATGATATTATTATTTTAATTCAAGAATCTAATCTTAGATATATAGAAAAATAAATATATATATATATATATATATATTCTACAAATACATATATAAAAAAGGTTTTTTTATTCAAAAGAAAATCTTACTTGAATTAATTTAATTAAATTAAGTTACCTCATATGATCTAACTTGATTGTTTGTTCTAACATGTTAATCCGATTAATTAAGCCAACTAGGCTAATAGAAATCAATAATTTCTTAAGATAAATATCAATGATTAAATAGATTTTAAGATAATAGTATTTACATATCAAAGAAGAAAATACTAAATATTCTTAATAACCATAAAATAGGAATAATCCTATATTAAACTTCCAAGAATATCAACATGAATAAATCCTATTATAAACTAAGTAGGATTCTTAAATTATTCAAATTCGAAGTCATCAAAAGAATTAAGCAACATAAACTTATATAACAATTCAATTTATTTTTTTAAAAAAATTAATATTTTTAATAATAAATTTTATTCTATGAATAATAAAATTTGTATAATAATAAATAATAAGCTCCAAAATCTATTATATAAGACAACTTGGATATATGATAAAAAAACAAGAACCATTTTGATTGGCTATGAAGAAAAGAACTCAAAGAATTCTAGGAATGTAAAGTAGTTGGAATCTTAAATATCTCTAAAAAATAAGTTGTTAGAACTTTGAAAATTTCCAATAATTGCTTCTTTGTCTACCACACAAATTGTGGTCCAAAAACTCAAGTGTTGTGCTTGCCTCTCTTTGCATCCACTTCTATTTTTTGTTCTTAGTCAAAATCTAACACTATTTTTTTTTTGCAAGATCTAAAACGATATATATATATTTATATATATTAGATTTTAGGATTGTGTTTGAAGACATAATGAAGATGTAGGATTGGAGAGCCAAAGATAATTTGTGTTGAAGAAGGAAGTAGAAATCTTTACATAATTATAAGTATTCAACAATGATTTTTTCAAGTAAAAGAATTAATATTGGAGGGAGCCTAAGTTCAAATTGTGAATTAAAAACTATATTTTCTATCAATTTATGCTTATTAATTTGCAAAGAATATAGAGCTCATTGACATTTGGTAGTAATAAAAAAAGTGAAAGTGTTGAGTTGTAAAAAATACATGCTAATTGTTGTGAATTGTTTTTGACAAGACTTTAGAGAAAGAAATAATATGCTTAGTCAAATATCATTAAATAAATATAAAGGATTAAAAGACCTAATTGTCAATATAATTACAAGAATTTGTTTGATGGTTTTACTTTAGAAGAGCTTTTGAAGAGTTTTGCAATAGAATAATAACAATTGGATGATAAGATGATATAATTTGTTTTTGTATAATAATCAATTGATTCATTGTATCAATTGTCTATGTTCTTTAAAAAAAATGAATAGATATATATATATAAGGAATAATTCATTGATTTATAAAATTATGCACAAAGATAGATAGTTCAAAGTTGAAATTATTTTTCATAGTCTTTCATATTGTCCTAAGCTAGAAGTGAATGGATCTTTATGGTTTGCAAAAAAACATGTGAATTTTGGTGCCTTCTACAAACTATTGGCAACCTAGAGGAAATCAAGAATTGTAGTTGTAAAATAACAATATTTGAGGTATAAAATGTGTCATTCTAATAATACAATCAAATATCACAAATATAAAATCACATGAACTTGAAATTAAAAGATCCATGTTGAAATCTATAAAAAAAAAAAAAAAAAAAAAAAAAATCTTAAATATTAGTAATGATTGAAGAAGTACATAAGGTCAATGACAAGGAATTTTTTATCTTGAATAAATATTACATGATTTTATAAAGTCTATAATTACTTTTTTATTTGAAGCTATCAATTATTTTTAGATATTAGCTCCAAAATCTTATTATATCCAAAAATATCTTATTGTTTAGAAGCCATGACAAGCTTGAAGAATACGTAATTGTACTTTATCTTTTAAAATATATAAACAATCCTTAAAATAAAGATGATTAATCTTGAATTCAAACTTAAAAGTATCATGAGACTTAGAAGAATTATTCTTAATATCATGAATAAGATAATCAAAGGACATATTCAATTGAATTTGCTTGAAAAATGGTGAATCAACCATCAATGTTGCTTTCATTGTTTAAAGATAAAATTACTTTGACTTTAAGATGATTATTTTTTGTTAATCAAAAGCTACATCTTCTTCTTTTGATACAAGATAAGAATACTTAGAAATGACATATAAAAAAACTTGTTATTTTTCTAGTCAATAAGTGATGTTGAAATCAAATTTTGATAATGACATGCTCCAATGAACTTAGCGACAATTTTGACATAAAATATTTAAGGTTCTTGTGATCCATGAATATTATCAGTAGATTAAAAGTACCTTATAGATAATAATGTCATTTTTGAAAGAAACTGATAATTATAATATTTTATTTTATTATAAATCTTGCAATTAATCTTGGCTATTAAAATATTTTTGGAATAAAATGCTACTAGATTGGATTTGTAATCTGCTCCTATTTGCAATAATATTGTTTTTAAGGTAAATTCTAATGCATCTATTTTTATAAAAAAATACCTTGAAGTAGTTAATACAATATAAGATTAGTACAAAAATAAATATTATCTTTAAAGCTTCAAATGATGCTTCAATTTCTTTACTTTATTCAACTTTGTCTTTGCAAGTCAAATGTGGAGAAATTATTAAAAAAATGATTTTTAATGAAGATGCAATAGTAATTAGCAAATCTCAAAAAACATTGCATATCTCTTATTTATTTTGAAATCTTTCAATCTATAATAGTCTAGACTTTGTTAAGATACATCATAAGTCCATTATTTGAAATAATGTATTCTAGAGAAATAACTTGAGTATTATAAAATATACTTTTTTCTATCTTGGCATATAATCCTACATCTCTAAGTTTTTGTAACACATAATAAATATAAAATTCATACTCTTTTGTATTCTTAGAGCAAATTAAAATATTATTCAGATAACAAAAAAAAATTATCAAGAAATTTGTAAAAAAACATTATTCATTAGATGTTGAAAAGCAACTTGCATATTTGTGAGTCAAAAGTGATGACATTATATTTGAAATGTATTTTTTAATTTTTTTTAATTTTTTTTTAGTGTGTACCAAGTTGTATGCTTTTCATAGATCTATTTTTACATAGATTTTTTCTTGACTTAATTGATCAAAAAGTTTTAATATCAAAGATAAAAGATAATTATTTTTTATGGTGATCTTATTGAATCTTCCAAAGAAAATTGTGTTTTGATGCAGTCTATATATATTTGATTTTTTTTTTTTTTTTTTTTTTTTTTTTTTTTAAATTAGCTTGGTACTCATGCTATAAATTTAGAATAACAAATGAAGTTCTTAACCAAGTTCTTATCAATGTATTCCTTAAATGCAATCAATTTATTCTATAATAAACTATAGATTGGTCCAAATGGTGGTTGAATTCATTCTTAAAGATTAATTGAATAATTATAAAAATAATTTTTAAAAGAATATTTATATTTTTCATCTAAAAAATATCTTGATAATTTTAGCACTAGTTTGGAATGCCATTTTTAGTCTTTTTACTATCAATAATATATGGCCTAAATAGCAAAAGGCGACTCTTTTTTTGTAATATACATAAAAACTTTTGGATCTATAAATAAGAATTTGATTGTTTTAGATTTATAGATTTCTATTTGACAAAAAAAAGTTTAAGTTAAACTACAAGAATAACCAAGGTTACAAAAATATAGTCTATTTGAGGATTATATTTTTTAAGCCATAATAATCCTAAAATAATTACGTTGAAGAGAAATCTAGTCTTATTAAATATTAGTAAGATATTATGATCTTTTGTTGCTAAATTTTAAAAAATATTTTTATAGATAATAACTCTTAAATATAACAAATAACCATCTATAATTTTTACATACATGAGCTTTGTTTTCTTGATTACGAGTATTTTTTATTTTTTAACAAAGTATTTGTCTATAAAACAAGTTGAAATTCATGAATCTTACAAAGCAAAGACTTTGTGATTTTTTGATTTTAAACAAATTTCTCTTGGAAAGAAAAATGAAGAATTTGAGGAGAGAATATAACCTTTGTTAGGTATTATATAAGATTCTAATTGCATGGTCTTAATTGTAGTTAAAATTTTTTATTCTTTAACACATTTTTTTCTTTGGTAATCATGCATTTTATTT